TTTCGAATGTTGTTTCCGACCAGGACATGATGCGTCCAATCACGATACCAGACATCCTTCCTTCTGATCTCCCCCCTGGTTCGAATTTCTCTCTCATCGCTGGTCAGTTCTCTTCATTACTTCATCCTTTTTGTAGTTCAATCGTACCAGGCGATTTCGAGGAAATATACGGCGCCGAGAGCGATCCAGACGAACCACAATCCGGACAATGGGACGCGATACTGACGTGTTTCTTCATCGACACGGTGCTTCATTTACATTTTCATACTTCATCTGACTGACTACTTACCCTCGTTTCAAGGCCAAAAACATCGTCAACTACCTCCGAATTATACACAAAATCCTTGCGCCTGGTGGGGTGTGGATCAACATGGGTACGTCGCCCTTCTTCTATGCACCTCTCCTTTTGAGATATCCGCTGAAGGTCCGCTTCTATGGCACTGGGAGAACAACAACACCAACGACCCATCCATCGAGCTCACCCTTGAAGAGGTGAAAGCCCTGGCTCGGTCGATGGGATTTATGATCTCGGTGAGGGATAACACTGTTACAGTGTCGTTATTCGCTGAATGTGTAATGGTGGTAGAACGAACGCACGATCGACACAACGTATACGAGTAACTCTCAGGGTATGTTGGGGTACGTTTATCATGCGGCTTTTTGGACCGCGACTAAGCAGTAGACTGTATGTACATACTTTACTTAAATTTTGGGTAATCGGTTATACATCTGGGATTTTGAATGGGTTGAGCTGATTCAGGGGTTGAAGTAGGTAGTATGAAGTGTGCATTCTGGAATTCTGTGTCATTCGGATTAACAAATTCAGGTTGTGCTCCTGTGCTGAGTGCACTTCTGCCTCTCTCCTTTTGTTGCTGAAACACCTGTAGAATGTAGTATTGACGAGGAGGAATCATCAAGCCAGGATTGAAATAATAGTTCACCAAAGCTTGCACATCAAAAGGATCATTCCGGCGGGAGTTTGCCGCGAGGCTTCAATTCTAAGTTTACTCTGGTTGTCACTGGTCAGCCGCAGTAGCCCTTTGAGGACGTGCAAAATCGTGTAGAAGCTCTTGCTAGCCGATGATACAAATCCGTTTCAGTTGCATTTTAACCGGACAACAGCGGACAACCCAGAAATTCTATCTTGAACCTCGGGACCCTGAAGATTCAACCTAACGGGTTTGATAATGATCTGACATATTGCGTAGCTTATCAAGTAACGGGTGTGCACGCTCCGACCATGTTGAATCTGCCGCTATTAGAATTCGGAGCGGGTGTGATTGATTTGAGATCGTGTAAACTGGGACCAACCCGCCATGAATGCACGAGGGTCCTATCGATCGGGATTGTTTTCTTTTTCGAATTTGAAAAGCACAAAGAATAGTTACATGCATAGTGAGAGATAGAGTAAGTACAATTGGGCCGAGACTCGGTGTAAGTATCCAAGGCAATTCAAGATGTTTTTGTCCTTGTTCCAACTTCGAACTGTAATGCTACGGTGCCTCAAGCTGTTGAGCTGGAGAGCGATGATGACGGAGCGGAGGCCGCTGCATCTCCACCGTGTCTAAGCTTGAAGAACCGAGGCTGCCGAAGTTTTGGTAAGGCTTGAACATGCAAAGTCTGGCCCTTTCTCAGCAGCGGGCTCTTTGAACAAAACGAATTGAAGGGAAATAAAAACACAAGGCTTGCCGAACTTGTTCAGTTTGTTGGTAAGCTGTTACATTAATATTCAGAGTCACGGAGAAGGTCGCGTTGTGGGGCAAGATCTGGCGCTAGGAATACGCGGGTCGTGGGACCTCCGTTGTCCGAAAACAGTTTGAACTCGTTCAAGGTTCGTCCCGACCATGGCGGTCGAGGACAAAAACCGACTCGACCGAGTCGCCAACTGATTCCATTACTTCAGAGCGACAAAATGAAAGCTCTTCCTGAGGAAGAAAATAAAGGGGGAATATCAGCAGCACAAATGCCAGTTGAGAGGGCAGCGGCAAGCGAGCAGGCAAAGTCGGCAGCTGATAATGATCTGATGGCATCTGATCATCACTGTTCTTTTGTTCAGGGTTTGTCCACGAACACATCCGTCTTGCCAACCAGCGCCTTGCTGCCACAACACGTCTGTCGATAATCGACTCTTTCCGAGTCCCTTGGACTCATTTTGAACCACTCTGAAATTTCTTCACTCTTCGGCGACGAATTTTCCCGAATATTTTGGAGCTTGTCCTTCGCTCGTCCTGCTCAAGTCCTGCTTCTCAGTCTCAGATTCCATTCAATGTCGACTACGAAGCCGAGATGAATCGTCCCAAGGAAGTGGCGCCAATATTCTCCCGCAGACCACGGATGGTCGTTTATCAGACTCTATCCAGATTTTCCCGTGGCCTACCATCTCGTCACTGAATGATATCAAGCCCACGTCCAAATTAGTCAATGAAAAGTGTTGTTGGACGCCTGGAGGATTTTCCACACAGCCAACAACCGGTTCAAGTCATCTACCGATAACCTGCATAATACCGCGTCATCAGCTTCCCTCCACTGTCGATCCATATTTCCTGCTACTTCTAATGACTTTCCTCCCCCAGAGTCATCAGCGTTCTTCGCCCGAGGCTCACACACCAAGCTCCGGCGAGCAAGTAGATTTGTCTGGGAGCTCGAATAGGTACATGGGCGAAGACGGTGTGTGTGTATACATTCAACGCGTCCAGACGCTGATTCCTTCTCACAAGGTTTATACATCCTGCACAGCGCCATCGCCATCGGCGCTTCTTACGATTCCATCGAACGATACCCTCCCCCGCGATGTCACCCCCAAACGCGCAAAATCGTCTTCGAGATCATCCTCTCCTGGACGAAAAACGCGCTTCACGGTCCACGCGTGATGTGGGTCTGCGGCGCGGCCGGTTCAGGAAAATCCGCCATCTCACAAACCGTATCGGAATACTGCGCCCAAAGCGGTCAGCTTGGCGCGACGTTTTTCTTCTCTCACGGAAAAAGCAGCGATCTCAGCGACGGGAAGCTTCTTTTCCCTACGATTGCGTATAAACTCGCTGGCGCGATTCCGGGTTTGCGCGGGCCACTGTCTCGCGCGATACAAGCCAACACTTCTATCCTGACGCAATCTCTCGAACTGCAAATCCAAAAACTCATCGTCGAGCCCTTCTCCATGATTCGTCACCCTCCGATACCCAGTCTTATCGTCATTGACGGGCTCGATGCATGCGACAGCGCCGAGATGCAACATCGAATCCTAACGCTGATCGCGCAACTCCTCGTCGTCCACCGCCTCCCCCTCTGTTTCTTCATAACAAGTCGGCTCCAGTCTCACCTCGAAGCGACATTCGACACGCCAGTATACCGCAAACTATCCACTCGCATCCCTCTAGACGTATTCGTCTCCGACAACGACGTCCGAACCTTCCTCTATGCCGAATTCGCCGCGGTTCGGCAGGTACACCAGGAGGCGATGAGGGGCATCCCGCACCCTTGGCCGTCGGAGGACGTCATCGAACTCATCGTGCAGAAATCCGAAGGCCAATTTCTGTACCCTGCAACCGTGCTCAAATACGTCGACGACAATTCGGGAAGGCCCGCCGAACGGCTCACCGAGATCGTCGTAGCTGCTGTGTCGGCGGCGGATGCAGAGCCCAGTCTCAGCCTTTCGCCGACCGACCAGCTGTGCCACCACGTCCTCTCGACGAGCCCAGATCCCGCGGCGCTGATGAGAATATTGGGGCCGCTCGTGGTGCTCTTCTCGCCCCTTCCGCCGACGGAGTTGGAGGTGCTACTCAGCCTGGCGCCAGGCGACGTGAGCTTGATCCTGCGCGACATGCACGCGCTCGTCGACGTCCCCTCGTCCTCCGCCTCCCCTCTCCAACGCGTCCGCATCCCCCAACCCTCCACCATCGAATTTCTCCTCGACATCCACCGCTCGATGCCCTTTTGGATCGAACCGGGGAAGTATCACGCAGAGATCGTACGCGGGTGTATCCGGTATATCGGCGAGTTCATGGATTTGACGATGCAGCATCTCGATCTGTGCGTTGTTTATCCAGTCTTTCTTTCTTATGGCTGAAATTGCGTTTCGACTCCTCGATTTATTCATGGCTATGGCTAGCAGATTATACCAATACACCCGAAAAAAATGGACACGCCATCTAGCACTGGCGACGCCCTCGCCGGAGCTCCTGCAGGATTTGTGTGAGTTGAGGTTCGTGTATTCGCGCGTGCCAGCGGAGGTGAGGGATGTGATAACATGGTTGAAGGTCAGTTTCGTTTCTGTATTTGTTTCTTTTCTTACGGCAGACTTTTCTCAATGATTGTTTGTTTCTTGTGAATAGAGCATTCCACAGGCACCAATGACCCAAGATGTTCTGGAACTGTGGCAGGGATGGTTAACGCAGATTGGTCCTCCTCCGACTGCATTTTTCGTGCCATGAGCTGCGGAACTGGAGGAGACGATTTTATTATGGAGGTATTGCTCCCTTGTTTCATAACGGCTTGCTTATAGATGGTCTGTTATATGAGCCCCTGCAGCTCAACCAGAGGCAGAATCAAGGTTTTCATTTCGCGTTTATACCCCTTTTCGCCAATTGATTCCAGCAGAGAATGTAACCTGTACTTTGCCTGTAATATAGTCAACGAATTTCAATACTGTCGTCGCATGCATATGCTAGTACATCCTTGCTTGATTCAATGTTGCTTAAAGATAAATTTGTTCGTGAAAAAGATGAGTTTTCAATTTGGTTGCACTTTGAGATGCTGTTGAGGTCTCAGCCCGGGAACGTCCAGACCACCATGGTTTCTTCGAATTCGCCATTGACGGAAGGGTAATGGCAGTCGAGTAAACCTTACAAAAAGAATAAGTAAACGCGCAGGGCCGTGCGGCACTTGGCCTGCTCACCTGCTGGACTAGGGTCCTTTCGTGTTTAGATTGTAAGCCAAACAAAAAAACAGATGCCACGGAACTGGAAAACGCAAACTAAGCACACAAAAAGCCGACACGAGAAAAATGAATGGAGTGGGATTCGAACCCACGCCCCCGAAGAGACTAGTATGGTCTTGTATTCGTCCTCGACCTGAAACTAGCGCCATAGACCACTCGGCCATCCATCCGTTGGCCGTTGGGGGCAGTAAGAAGTTACGTCCTGGCTTAGTACCACCTGTCTTGTCTCGTAGCTTTCGATTCAATATTCAAAACCTGCTCAAAGTTTCCGCCGAAACCGACGAATGAATTTGACAGCGGGAGGAAAGAAAACGACGACTAACTACGGTAACGACTTGCATACATTTGGCATACATACAGATTTCCTCCCTTGTTACACGATGAGCAGGGATACTTATATACAGAAAAAAACAAAATCAGCTCCTTTCCCCCAAGGGCCAACTCACATCTATATCTCATCATCATCATCATACACACACCCCCACCCCGACCACACCATACCCTGAACCACACCACACCCCTCCCTAGTACCCCACGGTCACCAGCATAGGCACCCCCCCACGCCACCCCCGCGCCAAACAGCTGCACCCACCACGCCCTCGCCAACACCCCCCACCCCTCCTCACGCACCACCTTCCTTAGACAGTCGACGAGGCCCGTATACGTTTCTCCCCCGTTCTCCCCAGTAAGACCCGTCACCGCCGCGTCATCACGGACTTCCAGAACACTTTCCCCACCGAGGGGTGTGTACCTTTCGAGCGGTGCTTGCCCTCCCCCTTCCCCTCCCGCAGCACCTAACAACGCCTCGCTCTCACCCTCCCCGCTCCCCTCCCCAGCCCGCCGCTGCAGCGTCAACCTTACCACCGCAACCGCCAACGGCGTCCCCAGCAACACAGCCAAAAGCACGCTCGGAATCGCGCCCGCGAGGTGGAAGCCGCCGGGCAGCGCCCGTGTCGCAGCGCGCAGAAGAACGAGCGCGGGTGCGATGAGGGATTCGCAGAGGACGCCGAGGGCGACGCCGGGGGCGAGGTACAGGCGGAGGGGCTTGGCGCGTTCGGCGGGGGAGAGGAGGGCGCGGAGCGCGGTGCGCGTGGAGCCCCGGCGGAGGGGGAGGATGTACGGGGTTGTTATCGCGCTATGGGGGGGAGGTTAGCTTAGGTGGGTGTTGTAGGGAGAGAGAGAGGGAGACGCGTACCGGTTTATGAGGATTTGGAGAGGGATGAGGAGGAGCGCGGCGATGATGCCGGCGAGGTAGTGCAGCCCGATTTGGGGCAGTAAGATGTGTGGAGGGGGCGGCGCGGCTTTGGTGAGGAAGTGGGAGAAGGGAGTCGAGGATGGGATTTCTGTGGGATATGCCCATGGCGAGCGGGGGCGCCCGAAGAGGATGGCGACGGGGAGGATGACGACGAAGGCGATGAGAGTTGAGATGAGGGTTGGTACTAGTAGCAAGCAATTGTGTGTAAAAACAAAAGTGGGAGAGAAGTAGATAATAGAATAGACTCACCGCTGCCTTTATACAACCCCGCCCAGCGCTCGAGTCTCCACACCCGCGCGAACATGCCGAAATACCCAAACGTCGCGTCAACGGCGCTGTCAGCATCCCGCGCTCTGCCGTCGGAGGCTGCGTGTTCGCCGTCGGTGAGGCGGACGGCACCGGTCTTGGGGGTGTAGTTTGCGCGGAACCGCACGAGGGCGCCGGCAAAGGGCATGACGATCGCGAGCGTGATCAGCATCGACCTGCGGATTTCAATGGGTATTAGCTTTGCTGGCAAGAGAGAGAGAGAGAAACAGGGAGGAGACGACGGACAGGACGCCGGAGACGAGGCTCACGAGTATGAGGCCGAGGGTGTCGAGGACGGGGTTCATGGTCGTCGTGGCCATGGTTGGTGGTAGGAGGAAAGGAGGGTCAGATCGTGCGTGCGAAGATACTGTACTGCGGAGGTTTATATCATATCAATGATCATTGGATTGACGCGCAGGTACTGAATTAAATGGACGCGCGGTGCTGTGCCGACCTGCCTCCCAGTTCGCAAGACGGGCGCGATGAGACCCGCAGACAGTTCACAGTGAATCACTTCGAGCGCGTTCAAGTTGGGTACGGCGGGGCAGGATATTATGAAGGTTGCGAAGGCATTGCAGAATTTGGATTATCGCGATTCGCGACGCAGAGATTGCAGGCAGCACACGATGCCCTGAACTACACTAGCGCCGAGTCCCGACCCAGAAGCTTCGAAGTGATTCAAAGCCTGCCCAAGAGGCTTCTTTGCAGGCAACAGGGCCGCCCTGGCTGGCATATTCGCGCTGGGACAGGCACATCCGCAGAGGTTCCGCCGGTACGCGGAGAAGAATGTCGAGATTGACTGGTCCCCAAGTCATCATTGAAGGTAAGTGTGATCGCGAACGCAAGAGCCGACGAGCACGCGAAGGCGGCGGGGGAAACTTGATGCGCAGACGTCGCCGAGATACACAAAGCGAAGGATTCAAGACTGGAGGAATGCCAGTCATGTACGTCTCCTTGTGCATTTATGAGTCCATATCTCCCTTTCTAAACGTCTGAGTCACTTCACAGAGACACAAAACCAGAAGTATATGGACAGCTCGTTCATAACTTCATACTTAGTCTCTTGTAAACAGACGCTACAACATATGGGTCCTCGTACCTGGAGGGCGTAGCGTGCATGGAGTAACGAGCTCGGCGGACGGAGAGGCGGGAGGTGGGGGCAGTGTTAAGGTGAGCGCCAGCGACTGTGAACGTCATGCGTTGATGGAGCCGTGTTCATGGTCGGCAACGACTCGAAGAGGTGGAGGGGCCAGGAGGGCGGGGCTGAATACCGATGGCGGCAGGCGCCGACGTCGATGTTGTCGGCGTCGAGGAAACTTCCAAAGGGAGTGGCAGCGATTGAGCCTGATTGAGCTCAGCGTGGGCAGTATTTGTTGATGTTTTGACTCTTTTCCTCCTGCGTCTTGCTCATCGTACGCCACGGTGGACGCACCCTTTTTCCCTAGAAACTTGGCCATCCTGCTAGTGACGCGCTTTGAATTTTCGCCCGTCGTTCGACTATCCTGACACCACCTGACGCGGTCGGCACAGCACCGCGCGTCTATTCAATACTGCGCGTCTATCCCATGATATAAACTTCCCGCAGTATCTTCGCACGACGTCCATCTGACTCTTCCTGTTACCACCACCATGACCACGACGATGTCTATGTCGAGCATGAATCCAGTCGAAATCCTCGTCCTCATCCTCGTGAGCCTCGCCTCTGGTGTTGTGTTCGTCGTCTTCCTATCTCTCTCTATCTACCTCGCAAAGCTAATCATAACATCGCATTGAATCCACAGCTCAATGCTCATCACCCTCGCCATCGTCATGCCCTTCGCCGGCGCCCTTGTCCGTTTCCGGGCAAACTACACCCCCAAGACCGGTGCCGTCCGCCTCACCGACGGCGAACACGCAGCCTCCGACGGCAGAGCGCGGGATGCTGACAGCGCCGTTGACGCGACGTTTGGGTATTTCGGCATGTTCGCGCGGGTGTGGAGACTCGAGCGCTGGGCGGGATTATACAAAGGGAGCGGTGAGTCCATTGTCTACGTCTCTCCCACTTTTGCTTACGCATAACTGCTACTAGTACCAACTCTCATCTCAACCCTCATCGCCTTCGTCGTCATCATCCCCATCGCCATTCTCCTCGCACAAGGCGACATCCGCCGCCCCCGCCCCCCATATCCCACAGAACTCCCTTCCCCATCCTCCTCCTCCTCCTTCTCCGCTCTCCTCGCCAAAGCCGCCCCACCCCCACACATCTTCTTCCCGCAAATCTTGCTCCACTACCTCGCAGGCATCATCACCGCCCTCCTCCTCATCCCCCTTCAAATCCTCATTAACCGGTACGTTCCCTCCTCATTTCCTCATCCCTGACTTACCGAATTTTCTTCCCCCCGCAGCGCGATAACAACCCCCTACATCCTCCCCCTCCGCCGCGGCTCCCCGCGCACCGCCCTGCACACCCTCCTCTCCCCGTCCGAACGCGCCAAGCCCCTCCGCCTCTACCTCACCCCCGGCGTCGCCCTCGGCGTCCTCTGCGAATCCCTCATCGCGCCCGCGCTCGTCCTCCTGCGCGCCGCGACGCGCGCCCTCCCCGGCGGCTTCCACCTCGCAGGCGCGATCCCGAGTGTGTTGCTGAGCGTGCTCCTGGGCACGCCCTTGGCGGTGGCGGTGGTGCGGTTGACGCTGCAGCGTCGGGGTGCGAGCGGGGCCGAGGGTGAGGCGGAGGCGTTGTTAGGTGCGGCTGCGGCGGGAAGCGAAGGACAAGCGGTACTCAAAAGGTACACGCCCCTCGGTGGGGAAAGTGTCTTGGAGGTCCGTGGTGATGCGGTGGGGGCGAGTCTCATTGGGGTGGAGAATGTCGGGGGAGAAGCGTATACGGGCCTCGTCGACTGTCTAAGGAAGGTGGTGCGTGAGGAAGGGTGGGGGGTGTTGGCGAGGGCGTGGTGGGTGCAGCTGTTTGGCGCGGGGGTGGCGTGGGGGGTGCCTATGCTGCTGTGGTAGGGAGGGGGCATAGTATGAAGTATGATGCATGGCGCAGGAATGCAATGCGGGAGAGGGAAAGAGCTGATTTTGTTTTCTGTATGTATGTATCGTATCCCTGCTCACAGTAACCAAGCAAGAAATCTGTATGTATGCAAGCAGCTATAGCTAGCTTTTGTTTTCGTATCAAATTCATTTGTCGGTTTCCGCAAGCTTCGGTAACGCTCGAACAAGAGAATTCGGGATATCGAATTGAATGGTGGTAATACAACGAGAAAATACAGCATTATAAATTTACATTGAATAAGCATACCTACTTCCCTACCTGTCCTTGTCTACTCATGTCAACTCCCCTTCTTCGAATCCTCTCCTTTCTCAATCTCATCATCATCATCCCGATCCCCAGCCGTCCCAGACGACTGCGACCTCGGGTTCCCAAAGCAGTCCATTTCCCCCGCCGCCGCCGCCGAGAGGTTCATATTCGTACGCGTACCAGACACGGCGGGCCGCGTGACAAAGTGCAGCGTCTCTGTTACGGCGCTGGACATGGTCGTTTCGAGTTGGGTCTTCTCCATCGTTACGAGGAGGACGATTATCACTGGGTATATTGCCTTGGAAATGAGGTCAGAGGCGGCGATGAAT